AATATGTCCAGTTTTAATTGCTATATTTGGCTGTTTGCAATATGCCTTGTTTATTTCAGTTGTTCACATTGTGATGCTCTATATGTGCAACTATTTACTGTGCAATACATTTTCATCAATACCAGTTTTAAACATACCGATAGGAATGCATATTTTTGCTTGCTGTTAAGCCTGTTATAGCTAGCATATGCCTCTTTTAAAGTTTTTTGGTTGTTCGGTTGTTTGTAGTTAGCATATGTCCAGTTTCAAATGCTATCTTTGGTTGTTCGTAGTATGCCTTGTTTATTCCAGTTATTCACAACGTGATGTTCTATATGTGCAAGTATAAACTTTGTAGTCCAATTTCATCAATACTAGTTTCAACAATACCACTATGAATGGCTACATTTGGTTGCTGTTAAGTATGTTGTAGTTAACATGCGTTTCCATTTTTATTTAACAATAACCAATATACTTAGACTGGCACAATACCAGTATGAATTACTATATTTACTTGTTGTTAAATGTTAGGCTTATTGCAGTTAACACACCTTTCCACTTCTTGTTTTGCTAACTAGTGTGCTTAAACCTGCACACTGAAGCTATCGTTTGGAGATTATTTTGTCTGCCATGGATATATTTGGTTGATTGTGCTTCACATGCCTCTCGATGTACTTACACATGGCAATTTTGGGAACTGATGTTTTCCATCGAGGTTAGTTTCATCCCATGGCTTATATATACTCATTGTTCAGGATATTGGTAGCTGGTCCATATAGACCGGGGGCTGATAAGGGACTAATCGGTGAATCAGACTTTTAACTGAATATATTTGTAACTCATTTATAGGTAGGTTAACTAGGGTCATATCTAATATATCTGAGGCTACATAGCAACGTGCACTGTACTGAATGTCTAAATATGCAATCCTAGGCTACATAGCAACAAAGAAGAGTGTTACCTTAATATTCTGATGATGTCTAGATATACGTAGAAGAGCAACAACAACAACAACAACAACAACAACAACAACAACAACAACAACAATAACAACAACAACAACAACAACAACAACAACACCACCAACAACACATCAATAATTAATCACCCGCCTCTGCCTCTCTCAATAACAACAACACAACAGCTAATAATGTTCTAATGATGTCCATGATTTGTTAACCTCCCATCACCCTCATGCCTCTCTCAATAACATAATCACTATTCTTTGGTGTATTTGGAAGTTCAGGAATGAAAACGTTTTGGCAGAAAATCAAACCCTCCTATGTAAGCAATACTAAATGGGCAAGATTTACTATCTTGTGTAGACATTGCAGGTTCACCAACAAAAATAAAGCAGGGAACGAGGGTAGAATCTGCACACAATCAAAAGCAGGGATGCTCACTAAAACACATATGATTGGATTATAGGTACCAAGGTTTATACCGATGCTACATGGAAGAAGTACACTACTAACTCCAATAACAACTCAAGGAAAACAGGAATAGGAATTTACATTCACACTGGCAAGAATAAGCAAAGAATAGGTATCTTAATCTGTGCAGCAGGCAAAAGTGTCAAAACTCCACTAGAGGCGGAGGCTACAACTTTATATGTTGTCGCGGAAATTGCTTCACACATCGCAACAACAAAATCACTTTCCTAGCGGATAATTTGACATTAGCTCATGCAGTGGCGTAAAGGAATCTTCTTCAAGTCCATGGACACTAGCAAATTAGAAGCCAACTAGCAATTTTGCTGCAACAATCAACATTCAAGCTCAGGTCTTCCACATTTCTAGGGAACTTAATGTAAAAGCTCATAATTGTGCCCCGCAAAAAAAAACTCACAATTGTGCAGCTTCTTTCTACATAAATGTTCATCTTCCAACCCAAAAAATCACTTGTTGTGAAGTAGATCATACAGGAGGTCACTGTCGTATGCTTGAAAAGCGAGCCAACTTATGTGTTAAGGATTGCCAAAAATCCTTTCTATAATCTGTATCTGAAACCAATACGCGCCACCACTCCTCCTCCCTAGGATCCTTAGCATATGATGCAGTACGGTCGCTGCCATGTGGCCAATCCTACCTGTCATGTGTACTACAGCAGGATGCGATACTGTAGAGGATCTCAACCCCCACCCCCACCCACAAAAAAACTCCAAATTACCATGTACAAGGAGCCCCTGGCATTTGTACAATCTAACAAAGAGCCACACGGGGCCAGTTCTTTTGGGCGATTCTCCCAGAATCGCCCCCCTCTTCAGCTTCTCCCAGAATCGTCACTCCATATATTTTTTACAATCCTAGCTAATTAGATCTTAACTAGGTAGGATTGTAAAAAAAATATGAAGTGGTGATTTTGGGAGAAGCTGTGGAGGGGGACGATTCTGGGAGAATCACCCAAAAGAACTAGGCCCTAACCTCCCTGCCCCCCTCCCCAGCCGCCACCTTCCCCCTTCCCTTTGCCTTTATACTCGTCGAAGGAACTGAACTCCCTACCTCCGTCCTGCCTCGAGCAACCCCCCTCTCCCTCCTTGTGATCTCCGGGTTCCCGTCTCAGATTCCCAGGTTCGATCTTGATCCCCAGCTATCCCCACCTGCCTCTGCCGTCCTCGAATCCTTCGTCGCAGAGGCGCCGCTTTTACCTCTTCTTGCCGCGATTTGAGAAGAAGACTTTATTGATCCGAGCAAGTGTTCTTGGGCGGGAAGAAAGGTGAGATCTTGCAGAGGTTTGTTCTGTCGATCCTGTAAAAATAAAATAATTAATCTGCAACACCGCTTTATGATCCGTCGCCGTATCATCCATCTCTCTCACCCAGCTGCCAACCATCATCCGCGGTCGGCGCCTCGCCGCTGTACCTCCCGCACCGCCAACTCGCCGCTGTACCTCCGCGGTCAGCGATAAATGGATGCGAAATCTGCTCAGTTAGACGACCGTGAGAGTTGGAGCTTGTGCAAAGGGGTGAAAGGCGACACCCTTACGTGTAGATTACTGGGCGAAAGCGATGTGCTTATGCACAATTTGTCCTCATGTACACCTTTGACCTTGCGTTTTAGCCTTTGGGGATTTTCCAGTGACCAACCTCATATAGCTCCCAGTCTGGAATTTTTGTCACATAAGACCACCTACGTCTTCGTATAGACAGAAAAGACCATCTATGATCCGTATTGACAAAAAAAGTCACCTATGCCATGGCGGCAGGTTCGGCAGCCGACATGTGGCACCTGCCGCCACAGCCGACGGTGGCAGCTCGGTTGCAATAGAAATTCGGGTCTGCAACGGAACGGCGACACGCTGGTGGGCCTGCCGCTACTCCTGATGGCTGCCGCTCGTTTTCCTGCTGCTCGCGATAGCATGCATGTGAACGATTACAAGTGGTCCTTTCTGTCACTAGATGAATCGGCCGGTGTGCACGTCAAGTAGTAGTACAGCAATGTCTAGTCTAAGGTGCATCATCATGCACGTACCAACACGACTTTGTAATGGTAGTGTTAAGTGACTGCGTGCACTCTTTGTATCGTGACGTTTCATGGATATGTACTACGTACACCCCTTCTAAATTTGTTCGAGTGCAGGCGGGCAGGTGCATGTGGGTACTGCAAGGGGAATTTTTGTCAGATAAGGAGCTGCCATACATGTAGGAAAAGGAGCTGCCGCCATCGGGAGTGGCGGCAGGGCCACCAGTGCGTCCTATTCCGTTGCAGACCGGAAATTTCTGTTGCAGCCGAGCTGCCGGCGGCGGCTGTGGCGGCAGGTCTTGCCGCCCCACTGTGGCGGTAGGTGCCACTTGTCGGCTGCCAGGTCTGCCGCCACGGTGTAAATGGTCTTTTTTGTCAATACGGATCGCAGATGGTTCTTTCTGTCAATATGAAAGCGTACATGGTCTTATCTGACAAAAATTCCCAGTCTGACGTGCACGAATTGCATAGTGCTGACAGGAGATGTAACTGGTTGGATCATGCTTGGATGATGCATTCATTCGATAATAATCTCAAGGAAAGCTTGCATCAACAAAACTGGAGTAAATATTTTCAAGCATTGTTTTGGGGGAAGTTGTTCCATGTCATTTTCTTGATCACCTCAATGGAGGTCCCACTGAAAAGGAACATCATATTTTTTGATCAGCTCAATGGAGGTCTCACTGAAAAGGAACATCGTATTTTTTTAGCAGCTCTTTGTTCAGTTTGTATGTCACTTGCTATCTGTTATTCCTTTATGAATGTTTTTTGGTTGATCTGCAGGAGCCATGATACCTGCTGTGAAGCTCTCTCCGGCCGCCTTCTCTGTCACCAATCAACGGTCTAAATCAGCTTTGGTTCCGTCGGTGTCCATTCTCAACATGAAACAAATTGCCTCCTGCTCCCTTAGACCACTCTACCTCACACGGCTAGATGACCCACACACTTCCGAGCTGAAGCCTCGGAGGCAGCTGCTTGACTTCAGGTGTGCAGCTTCAGCGGCTGATGACAAGGAGTCGAAGGCTGAGGTGGTGCCAGCCAGCTCAGAAGCAGCACAAAAGTTGAAGATCTCAATCTATTTTGCGACTTGGTGGGCGCTTAATGTGATCTTTAACATCTATAACAAGAAGGTTCTCAATGCTTTCCCGTATCCCTGGCTCACCTCCACACTATCCCTCGCCTGTGGCTCAGCGATGATGCTCTTCTCATGGGTCACCTGCCTAGTTGAGGCCCCCAAGACTGACTTAGATTTCTGGAAAGCACTCTTCCCGGTGAGTTCGTTCGTTCTGTGGCAACTATTTTATCTGTTGATGGAAATCATGAATCATATTTGTTGTTTGCATTGATGAAGGTTGCTGTGGCTCATACAATTGGACATGTTGCTGCCACAGTGAGCATGTCAAAGGTGGCAGTGTCATTCACACACATTATCAAGAGTGCTGAGCCTGCATTCAGTGTTTTGGTGTCAAGGTTCATTCTCGGAGAGTCATTTCCGATGCCTGTATATCTTTCTCTTCTCCCGATCATTGGTGGTTGTGGTCTAGCTGCTGCGACAGAGCTGAACTTTAATATGGTTGGTGAGTATAATTAAGTAAAAATCCTCTTAAGTTGTTTCTCTCGTATCCTCTCCCTATTGGTTGTCGAGAAATTGATGTGCCTTTTGCTTCTAACCATTATAGTCATGTTGTTCGTAGATATAAAGAAGCAGTTTCTATCAGTTAACTGAGGTGACAATTCTTAATTGGTTAAATAATCGACATTCCTAATGTTTTTTGACATAAAACTGAAAAGACTTGCTAAATGATTATTTACTCTATCTGGATTCAAGTGAGCTTCAAGAACTATGTGCTTTAGATTTGGAACTTATGGAAATGAATAAACAGTAAAGTAATCATACATATAATCTTTTAACCTTGTGTAAATTAGGCGAATGGTTACATAAACTGTGGCTAGTGCATTCTCCTAAACACAAGAAGATATAGCTTAAAACCTTTTTTTCGTGAAGTTTGACACCAGACAAAATAGAGACTATAGCTGCATAGGCAACTTTGCAATTCTTGATTGGTCTTGCACTGGTTAGGGGAGGCAGCTATTCTGATCTACTCCTTCCATGATGCTAATAGCCTTATCCTCCCACCAGGATTTATGGGTGCCATGATATCGAACCTTGCATTTGTTTTCCGCAACATCTTCTCGAAGCGGGGCATGAAAGGGAAGTCTGTCAGTGGCATGAATTACTACGCTTGCCTTTCAATTATGTCCCTGATCATACTCGCACCATTTGCTATTGCTATGGAAGGCCCCCAAATGTGGGCCGCTGGATGGCAAAAGGCTCTTGCAGATGTTGGCCCCAACGTTCTCTGGTAAGCAGGAAAAATCAAGAATTCATTTTTCTTCTATATTTATACCATGTACTGTGATTTGTACTTAAATTTCATGTGGAAACTTGAAATGATCTTCATATTCACACCATTTAAAGACATACTTCAACATTTTTGATACATTTATAACTCACTAGCAGCACTGTTGCTTATAGCCTTTTAATTCTCTTGACATATTCTGTTGGGAGTCTTTGTTGACAATTCAACATGTTGTGTCGGAGGTGACCAGGATTTATGTGCATTTGTACCCGAACATATATCGCATACTACTTTTCTTTGCATTGACAGTTTTCTGATGTTGTAAATGTTCGCTCATGTAGGTGGATTGGTGCACAGAGCGTTTTCTACCACCTGTATAACCAGGTGTCCTACATGTCTTTGGACCAGATTTCTCCATTGACGTTTAGCATTGGCAATACAATGAAGCGCATATCAGTTATTGTTTCGTCAATCATTATCTTCCGTACACCTGTCCGCCCTGTAAATGCACTAGGAGCTGCCATTGCCATCTTTGGCACATTCCTGTACTCTCAGGTAAATTTGGTTGCTTTAAGATTTCCTTCTGATTGTCCTTCCCTTGTATCAACTGAAATAAACCTTTCTTTTGCTGGACTAGGACAGGTTAAAGCTCCGTGTATGTAGCATTTAATATTTTTCACCACTCGAGCTTGTGCATACAATTATGTGGCTTTCCTATGGCCATAGAGGTGCAGAGGTAGCTTAAATTATAAATATGCTACTTTCTGATCCTCGCTGTTGTTGTAATTCGAAATTATGATTGGTTGCTTTGAGGGGCAGGTGACATTTTATGAAAAACGTGACTAGATCATGAAGAGAAATCATCAAATGATTACGTCAATACATGCTGAAAATACACTCAAGGTAGTTTGGCAATGACTGGAAGTATTTACTTGCCTCGTCGACAAAACGGGAAATAAGAAACCATAGAAATATATTCGAGTAATGAAGACTTGATAAACTTCTGTTCTGTTGATTCTTCTTCCTTTAGTGTTTATGCCTAACTTAAATATTGCATTTTTATCTTCATAGTTGACATTTTCTTAACTGCATTCTGATGTAGGCAAAGCAGTGAGGTTTAAACTATTGTTGAAGGTCAGGTTCATGGACGAAGAATGTCTGCAGAAATAGTACCAAGCAGTGGGGCAAATTTTGCTTGTGCAAGTGTCTTGTAGATACAGGTTTAGGTTTTCATGCGAGAGGCGATAATAATAATGGACCATGTTGCTGTTTCCTTGTTATTTGTTAAATCGCAAACTGAACTCCAGTGGCCATGAACTGTCGTTGTATCCTGAAATAAGAACTGCATGGAAATTCGTCTGACAGTTCCGTTGCTGGAAAGTAACGATAGCCCTGTGCTTAACGGTAAATTATTGATATTTAAGAACTTTGTGTATTTTGAAAGGCATGCTTTCTCTTGTGTTTCCAGCTTCTAGTATGTTGTTTGCCAGGAGCCCTGGAGCAGGAAAGGTCTTGTGGTAAAGTTACACCCACAAGTTGTTTGAAGTTTTTGTAAATCTGTCGTTACTTTTGTAGTCCTCTGAATCGACAACTGATCTTTATATCACTTCCACCTCACGGTATGCCATGATCTTGGGTGAAGCAAATGTGCAACTATAGAGAAGCTGGAAAAGATAGTTTCTTGTATGATCACGTATTAAGTCTCCAAGTTGTCCGTAAACATGGACATGTCTATTCGAATAGGTATAACCTTGTAGGTGTGTACCAATTTACCTAACAGTGCCAGACGTTCAGCTATATGAAACTCGGGTGAACAGTAAAAGCATAAAAAAACTTCAAAAAAATATTAAAAAAACTTCAAAATATCTGATTTTTTTGTGTCAAACATTCACATATGTTTTGATTGGTTGCAAAGTTTCATCACGAGGTGACATTCATGTAAAACGTGGCAAGAAAAATGCTCCAAAATGCATAGACAAAAAAAATCAACACTCAAAAATGCTTTTAAAAACTGCATTTTGAAGCATAGATTTTGTTTTTTACCATGTGTTCATATGAATGTCTTGCAATCCACTAAATTTTTTGTCAACGTTTGACCAAAAATATCCGATTTATTTCAGTTTTTTGATTTTACTATTGACCTGAGCTCACAAGAGCTTGGATCAGTTGTGTCCTCATCTATGGTCACTCGTATAATTATATGGGCTATAAAGTTGACTACTATATTAATACATTTTTCTACCTTCTCTTTTTCTATTTCTTCGTATTTATTGTATTTGCTTAAGAATGCGTATATAGCTAGTGATGTGGAGCATCCTCCGGTCATCTCCATGGACCTTCCATCGTCTCACCAAGCACCAAGAGGACCTATGACTAGAGCACGAGCTAGAGCTCTCGAGACCGAGGTGACTTCTCTCCTTAGTGATATCTCATTTGATCCTTTCGAGACATGTCCACTACCTAAGTCAGGAATGTTGTGCATGATTAGGTACCAAGAGGACCCTCCCAACGATGTTCATGAAGATGGTCAAGACATCAAGTCCACGGAAGAAGAGAACCAACGGAAGAAGGCGAGAACAACCTCCAGGCACCGGACATCCGACCATGGCCCCGGACAAACGCCCCTTGGAGATCTACTTGGACATGAGTTGGCAGAAGAAGCTACAGGGATCGGACATCCGGCGTCCAGTCCGGACATCCGGCCCCCCTCACCGGAATTCTGGCCTCCAGCCCGGACATCCGAAGGCGCCATCCAGGGAGCACGGAAGCTTGCCCCGACAGCCCGGACATCCGGATGCCTCACCGGACATCCGGCCCCTCCTGAAGCACCGGACATCCGGCCCCTCCGTGCGGACATCCGGCCCCGTCCATCCAGAGAGCCGCAACACCAACTCCACCAGCCCGGACATCCGGCCCGTCACGAGCGCCCGGACATCCGGCCCGATGCCCGGACATCCGGTCCCCTCCTGCCTGCGTGCAACGCCTCAGGGCCGTGGCCCATGTACCCCTTCGCCCCGTAGACTATATATACTCCCCCTACCCCTACGTTTTAGGGTTAGCATTGTGATAGCTCATCTGAGATAGAGCATTGCTCATCCGTACCGAATCTACTCCTCGTGAGGGACCGCACCTCTTCGGAGAAGATCCATCCGTATTCAAGGCCTCCATCCGGAGAAGACAATCAAGACCTCCTCACGGAGAAGAACGGTTACTCTTGTATCGTCCCTTGTTGACTTTGGATCTCGTGTTACTTTGTGCCTCGATGATCTAGCACTTGTGTGATCAAATTCGTGTCGGTTGAGTGTTTCTCTTGTTCTCCCCTCGTGATTTCCCTCGTGTTCTTCCGCGCGTTCTTCGTGTTCCCCGTAGGATCCACTCCAAACGTAAAAGATCGGCCACCTACGGTTCCGCCCTACATAATCTTGGTATCATGAGCCACGTTGATCACATTTTTGGAGCCCCTACCCCGTGTTTTCTAGCTTGATTTTGTTGTTTTCGTCCTAAATCCGAAAATTCCCCACAAAAAATAGCCCCAATTTTTTTGTGATTTGTTGGTGTGATGAAGTTTTGTTGGATTTGATCCACAGATCTGCTTTGCAACGAGTGGATCTAGCTTTCCCCCATCTCCCCTGCGATTTCCATCCACCAATTCGTTCGAATTTTGCCCCGGAGTTGCCCTTTTTCCCGTGGAGTTCATCGTGTTCGTCCCCGATCCAGGAGCCCGGACATTCGCCCATGTCCACCGGACATCCGGTGTCCCGGACATCCGGCAGCTGGCCCGGACATCCGGCAGCTGGCAGCAGCAACTCCATCCCCCGCGCCCATTTCCGCTTAGTTTCGCCCAATTTTGCCCCGGTGACCACACTTACTTCCGCATACCACCACCGCTTTCCACAAGCACCACCACCGCTCACCGCTACCTCCTACGACGATTTTGACATGTTTGGGTCTTTGAGATTTTGGGTTGTGATTCCTGTGTCCTATTGTGTTTCGGCTATATAGGTACGGTTCGACGTCAACAACACCATCGCTCATCTCCATCGACTACTCATCATCGCCAAGGACGGTAACTTCGACAACATCTTTGTCATACCTTGCAATTGCATTGATACCCCACATGACCTTACTTTTGCGTAGCTTACCCATCGAGACTAGCCATTGAGTATTGCCGGCAACGTGACTTGTGCACATTAGTGATCATACTCCATAGCATACATACCATACCTTAGTGGTGCATATCTTGGCATGAACTTGTGTGTCACAAAGTTGTCATTGCATACACAATTGCTATCTTGGTTCGTGAAGTTTTGCATGAGAAAAGAGCTCAAAAGTGAAAGAGCCACCCAGGCTTTTAAGCAAAGAGGAAAGATAAGCAAAGAGCTTATAAGCAAGAACCATAACATCATACTACATTAAGATTGTCATACTCGATCATCTTGGATCATAGCACCGAAATATCATACTTATAGCATACTTGGGATAGAGATCGTTGCATTTTTGCCTAGTAGGTTGTGCACAAGTTCCGTATCTGCCTATTGTGCAATCATGCTAGCGTCTCTCGTGTATTGTGCAACAAGAGCATTTTCGTGGATTCCACATTTTGGCTCATTTTTGGTTTGCACAATCCCACTTATCTATTTGCGTGTGTGTTTCCGTGTACCACTACTTGCTTGGTCTACTTGTTGCATTTGCAAATTTGTGAATCTTTTCCAACATTTTTGAAGCTCACTTACAATTGCATCAAATTTTGTGCCACCATCCTAACCAAGCTCCACCATAAGCTTTTACTTGTGTAGGTGTGAGAACCGACAAGAATTGGTACCAATAGTGCTATTTCATTGTCCGCATAGAGTGAACCCGATTCATCGTCAACATCGGTCAAGGTACACTGGTATAAGTTCTTCTCTCTCTACCACTCACATTTTGCTTGGAATGATGGATAGGCCGAGTACTTCTACCAACCCACTCTTCATCGAGCAAGACAATGACATGTCATCATTTTTCACCAAGAGCCACCTCTTTGGTGCACAACGAGCGTTGCATCAAGAGCAACAAGCTATGACCGACCGCATCGACAACCTCGTCACCGACTTGCGACTCTCTGAGCAACGTACCAAGGACTACTTCGACAACAAGTTCGACGCGCACAAGCAAGAGAACGATGCAAGAATGAACGAGATCCGTGCCTTGTTGGTGAACCGTCCTCCTTCTACTTCTTCATACTCAAGACGGAGCCGCTCAAGTCGACACTCCGATGACTCCTTCTCCGGCTCAAGTACACCGTCCTCGAATACTTTTCGACGAGCCGCGCGTCAAGACCGTCATGCATCCCGCAATCCGCTACATGACAAGCATTCACAAGAGCAAGTCGATGAGCGAGAACTTCGTCCTCCACCACATCAAGTTGCGTTTGCTCAAGCTCAAGAACGACAACGACAACGGCGCCAAGAGGAAGAACAAGCGCATCTACACCAAGAGGAACAAGACGCCGAGGCTCAACGTCTTGAACAACAACAACGTGAAGCGCAAGCTCTTGAGGCGCAATGTGCCCTTCAAGAATCAAGTCGAGCCATCGCCAACCGCAATCGCAAACGGCGCAATCAAGAGGAAGCCTTCGAGAAGAAATCCATGAGAGGAACTACCAACCGCGAGTGCAACGTCAAGTTCCTCAAGCTCCTCCTCAAGCTCGTCAAGCTCCACCTCAACCTCAAGTTCAACAAGAGCAAGTTGATCATGGACTTCCTCCACGCCAAGAGCAACATGAGGATGATTACCCCCACCGTCAAGGGCGTCATCATGACCATCACCAACAACACAATGAAGAGCAACGCTACGGCAAGCTAAAATTCACAATGCCCAAGTTCAATGGAAGCAATGATCCCGAAGAATACCTCTCATGGGCATTGAAGGTTGACAAAATCTCTCTTTTGCACAACTATGAGGAAGAGAAGAAGATCGCTATGGCATCACTCTAGTTCCAAGACTATGTGCTCATATGGTGGGAACAAGTCCTTGAGCGTAGACAAGCAAGAGGTGAACCTCAAATCACCACTTGGGCTGAAATGAAGGAAGTCATGCGAGCACGTTTTGTGCCCACATACTACAACCGCGATC